GTAATAATAATCATAATAATAATAATAATAATAAAAACTCAGGTCGGAGAGTTATGAATAAGTTTATATGAATTCATAGAAATCTTTGCCATATTTGCCATAATAATATATAATATAACATGAACAGTGAAAGTAAAGCTTCTGGAAACAAACGTTCATCAAAGATCCTGATGATCTGAAGGATGCCTCCATGCCAGATAATTAAGATCCAGATCCTATCAGAAAATATCTGTTGTGTCTGGTAACAGAACTAGTCAGCAGACTAATCTAATACCTAAAACCCCTTAACAGCAAGTCTTGTCAAACCTGTTAAACCTGTTAACAGCAAGTCTGACTGAGCAAAGCCAGCGAAGAGCAGAAGCAGGAGACGAAAAAAGGAGCAAAAGGAGCAGAGTTTATTGGGTACTTTCAATTGGGAGGTGGTTGTCCTGAACCATAACCCCTAAATTTCAACTTAGGAAAATTATATTGAAATAATTTTAGCATTTTGTTTTTTCTATTGTAGAAAAAATATAAAACCTCTTTAGTTATTTTTGAGCGAGATGCTAACTGTCTAATCAGATTCAATGATCTATGCTAAGCTACAGCTAAAAGTGCTACCGCCAGACCCGGAGATCAGCTGAATGGTTTTGAAAACGGTAAAACTCAACTGTTTAACTCTAGGGGAGTTAGAAATTGAGCCTATCTTCAGAAATAGTGGAGTGTTCCTTTAACGCTGCACAATCAGACCGCCAGCTTTGGAGGCGTGGCTTCGGCGGTGGGTGTTGGAGGGAAGTTCAGTGATTGGTTTGAAATCTTACAGGCTCTAAACCAATGGGCGACTCGCACGCTCTTTTAAAATCAGTAGAGCGGAGCTCACGGATTTATTTCTTCATTATAAATATAAATTTTTTTTTTTTTACAACCAACAATGAGTGGAAGAGGCAAAACTGGTGGCAAGGCGAGAGCGAAGGCCAAGACTCGCTCCTCCAGAGCAGGGCTGCAGTTCCCCGTCGGTCGTGTTCACAGGCTTCTCCGCAAAGGTAACTACGCAGAGCGCGTCGGTGCCGGAGCTCCGGTCTATCTGGCGGCTGTGCTCGAGTATCTCACCGCTGAGATCCTGGAGTTGGCTGGAAACGCCGCCAGAGACAACAAGAAGACCCGCATCATTCCCCGTCACCTGCAGCTGGCGGTGCGCAATGATGAGGAGCTGAACAAACTCCTGGGCCGAGTGACCATCGCTCAGGGCGGCGTGCTGCCCAACATCCAGGCCGTGCTGCTGCCCAAGAAGAGCGAGAAACCCGCCAAAGCCAAGTAAACAGATTCTAGTCTGTTTCTGAAACAAAAAGGCTCTTTTAAGAGCCACCCATGTTATCTATTGGAGAGTGCTTTTCTGTTTAACATGAAAATAATGACATGCCATAAATGTATGCAGCCAAATATGCATTATATCAACTAAATCCTACAATTGCAATCATGAACATTCATGATGGCCACTATCTTGCGATTCAGAATGATCTTTATTTGCCAAGTGTAAGCAAAAACACAAGGACTTTTTTTTTCGTGGTCTCCAGTAGCTCTGGGTACATATAATCATACATGCATACAATAGGGGAAAAAAAGTAAATTAAGATTAAACTAATGCGCACCAAGATCGGTAAATTTGTATATTGTATAACGGTATGCAACTAAGTAAAAAACAGAAGTATGTTGTGAGGGAACAATTCAAATGCTGTATGAGTTCACATGAGAGGCCTGCTGGGTCTGAGCAGAGATGTCACCATGACCTGCTTGTTGAGGAAAAACAGGATACTATCTTGAATGGCGTGGCTTCGGCGGTCGGTGTTGGAGGGAAGTTCAGTGATTGGTTTGAAATCTTACAGACTCTAAACCAATGGGCGACTCGCACGCTCTTTTAAATACAGTAGAGCGGAGCTCATTAGTTCATTATTTCTCTAATACAAACGTAGGTATTTCGTAGCCAATAATGAGTGGACGAGGCAAAACCGGTGGCAAGGCGAGAGCGAAGGCCAAGACTCGCTCCTCCAGAGCAGGGCTGCAGTTCCCCGTCGGTCGTGTTCACAGGCTTCTCCGCAAAGGTAACTACGCAGAGCGCGTCGGTGCCGGAGCTCCGGTCTATCTGGCGGCTGTGCTCGAGTATCTCACCGCTGAGATCCTGGAGTTGGCTGGAAACGCCGCCAGAGACAACAAGAAGACCCGCATCATTCCCCGTCACCTGCAGCTGGCGGTGCGCAATGATGAGGAGCTGAACAAACTCCTGGGCCGAGTGACCATCGCTCAGGGCGGCGTGCTGCCCAACATCCAGGCCGTGCTGCTGCCCAAGAAGAGCGAGAAACCCGCCAAAGCCAAGTAAACAGATTCTAGTCTGTTTCTGAAACAAAAAGGCTCTTTTAAGAGCCACCCATGTTATCTATTGGAGAGTGCTTTTCTGTTTAACATGAAAATAATGACATGCCATAAATGTATGCAGCCAAATATGCATTATATCAACTAAATCCTACAATTGCAATCATGAACATTCATGATGGCCACTATCTTGCGATTCAGAATGATCTTTATTTGCCAAGTGTAAGCAAAAACACAAGGACTTTTTTTTTCGTGGTCTCCAGTAGCTCTGGGTACATATAATCATACATGCATACAATAGGGGAAAAAAAGTAAATTAAGATTAAACTAATGCGCACCAAGATCGGTAAATTTGTATATTGTATAACGGTATGCAACTAAGTAAAAAACAGAAGTATGTTGTGAGGGAACAATTCAAATGCTGTATGAGTTCACATGAGAGGCCTGCTGGGTCTGAGCAGAGATGTCACCATGACCTGCTTGTTGAGGAAAAACAGGATACTATCTTGAATTTCGGGAAGATGCTACCTGAGGAATGAGACATATCAAGTGTTTATCACGCATTAGGTATATATGATATTAGAGAGACGACCATTGGCTAAAAGGTATAAAAGTAGAGATGCATGCTCACTTGCTTTTGTCACACATATGGTGGAGCTCACTGCTGTATTGTCTGACCTTCTTGCAAGAATGCAAAATTAAAAGACTGTCTCTGACCATGTTCTTGATTTAAGAAGAACAATTCTATTACAATATAGAGGTCCTGACTCTCTGTGGTCATTAAAAATCCCAGGATGTCTTTCGAAAAGAGTAGAGGTGTGACCTCGGCATCCTGGCCAAATTTGCCCATTGGCCTCTGATCATCATGGCCTCCTAACAATCCCCATATCTACTGATTGGCTTCATCACTCTGTCTCCTCTCCACCAATAAACTGGTGTGTGGTGAGCATTCTGGCGCACTATGGCTGCCGTCACATCATCCAGGTGGATGCTGCACACTGGTGGTGGATGAGGAGATAATCCCTGACAATGTAAAGCGCTTTGAGTGCCTAGAAAAGCGCTATATAAAATGTAATGAATTATTATTATTATTAATATGTGTACGGTGTACGTATCTATTATTGCTTCATGTGGCATAAACACCTAAGAGTACTGAATTATACGTTTATGCATTATAACATCTGTGAGATAACTAAGATAATTATCCTTGCCCAGTTGTATTAATTTTATACAAATGTTAATGTAATTTTGATGACATCTGATTAATGAATAGTTAAGAATTAATTAATAAACGCGAGTATGAAGTCTATAACTTGTTAGTGTAGTGTTTGTTTGATGCGTAAAGTAATAAACAGAATCAAGCATTTTAAGCGGGAGACACAAACCGTTCCCCGTTTGAAAACAGGAGTCGCGCAGTCATTGGCTGGCAGTCATGCGCAGACGTCACACATCAGCCAATCACAAGCTCCTGCACTCTGACGCCATCCTGAGACGCTTTAAAAGCAGCTGTGTTGCAGAGATTGTTACTTACACCGCTCGAAGCCTGAAAGAAATAAGACTGCAGTCATGGCAAGAACCAAGCAGACCGCTCGTAAGTCCACCGGCGGCAAAGCCCCGAGGAAGCAGCTCGCTACTAAAGCCGCCCGGAAGAGCGCCCCAGCCACCGGCGGCGTCAAGAAGCCCCATCGTTACAGGCCCGGGACCGTGGCTCTCCGAGAGATCCGCCGCTATCAGAAGTCCACCGAGCTGCTGATCCGCAAACTGCCTTTCCAGCGTCTGGTGCGAGAAATCGCTCAGGATTTCAAGACGGACCTGCGCTTCCAGAGCTCCGCTGTCATGGCCCTGCAGGAGGCCAGCGAGGCTTATTTGGTCGGTCTGTTTGAGGACACCAACCTGTGCGCCATCCACGCCAAGAGAGTCACCATCATGCCCAAAGACATCCAGCTGGCCCGCCGCATCCGCGGAGAGCGCGCTTAAACCCGCGCTGCAGCAGCCGCAGTCCACCCCAAAGGCTCTTTTAGGAGCCACCACAATCACACTGAACGAGAGTTTCCACTGTAATGCGCCATATAATCAATAGCAAGCACAGTCGTGCTCACAAGTTTAATGAATTGGTCTTGTGTCTTTCCTTTTGCTTTTTATGAAGCTTTAATTCTGTTATTATAAAGGACACGCACTGGGGAAGACAACATGAATACGCCACTTTTAATCATTTATTTGTTTCTCAATGACATACTGATTAAAATAAATGCAATGAACTTACTCCCAAAATGCTTGTGAATATCAGTCAAGTGCAACTATATAAGGGCCATTCTACAGAATTGGTGGAAACACATTTGAAATGCATTTAAGTATTCAAATCTTAGATGTTTACAAATATCATTTTATTACTTATTGAAACCCACAACACTATCATCATTTGTGGGTGCTTTCAATTGCGAGGTGGTTGTCCTGAACCCTAAATTTCTACTTATGAAAATTATATTGAAATACGTTTTCCATTTTATTCCATTGTTTTTAAAAATGTATTTTTGATTATATAGTATAATGTTATATATTACTGTCAGAGGCGCACACAATGAGAGCGTGTTTATTTTTGTCTTACATGGCATTTTTATTTGCTTGTTTGGCATTTAATTTGAATTTAAGTGATTTATACAATAAAGAGAAAACAATCAGATGGCAAAGATACTTAAATTTGAGCAGAAGAGAGATTAGCAGGACAGCAGAGGAGAATAACGTGTCTAATCGTTAAAGCTCTCCTTTCTCCAGATTCTCTCAATGGGTTTAACTAGAGGTTTTTAAAAATTATACTGTATGATATTGATCCTGTGTGATATTCGAGACGGATTTGTTTTCTTGTATAGAATATAACTAACAAAATGAGCGGGAATTGAAACAAAGGAAACAGTCACGTGGGCTGGTATCGCTCAAACACGGAGCGGTGGGCGGGGCTATAATTTCACCGCCTGTGATTGGCCCTCCTTCCGCTCGTGATACTTCGAGTTTTCCAATCACACACGGGTTTATGGGTTTAGTCTGTGAAAACACGCAATCAGAAGCTTCCATATCTCTTTGGTAATTAGCATAGATTAGTCAATAAATGGCTCTGTCTCGCTCGTGCTAGTCATCGACTCGTGAGGTTTTAGTCACGCAGCAGAATCATGCCTGAACCAGCAAAGTCCGCGCCTAAGAAAGGCTCCAAAAAGGCTGTCACGAAGACCGCCGCGAAGGGAGGAAAGAAGCGCAGAAAGACCAGGAAGGAGAGCTACGCCATCTACGTCTACAAAGTGCTGAAGCAGGTTCATCTTGGCACCGGGATCTCTTCGAAGGCGATGGGCATCATGAACTCTTTCGTCAACGACATCTTCGAGCGCATCGCCGGTGAAGCGTCTCGTCTCGCTCACTACAACAAGCGCTCCACCATCACTTCCCGAGAGATCCAGACCGCCGTGCGTCTGCTGCTGCCCGGGGAGCTGGCCAAACACGCCGTGTCTGAGGGCACCAAGGCCGTCACCAAGTACACCAGCTCCAAGTAGAGCTCCGCTCCAGCGCTCACACACAAAGGCTCTTTTAAGAGCCACCCATCTTATCACTGTAAGAGCGTCTATTGTTAATATTTTAGTTATGGTTCAAACATTAATGGAGTCAAGTTGAGCAATGAAGTTTTGTTGGCTTAATAATTGACGTTAAACGAGCGTAATGAAATCTTAAAACCGACGAGGTGACACTACAACGCATTTGTTTAAGAATCAAGTTGTAGCAGTGTTACTGGAGTAATTGCGTATTAGTGAAGCTCAAGTTTTACTCACGTATTTGATATACGGTTTTATGTGTGTGATAGTGTATATCACTATACAAACTAAACATATATTGCATTTGGGCTTTTCTTATTTAAATTCAACTTATTCAAATTCATTTTTTTTTTTTTGTTTGTTCTAATGTAAATTTATTTTGGCTTTA